TAGATATACACATAAGAAAGTATTATTACTATATATATATATATATAATTTTTATTTTATAAATTTATATCCGTGCCTTTTTATATTTCTTGTTAAGGTTTATTGGTTGACAAGAATAATTTTATCATAAGTATTCGTACAAACTAAACACACTAAACATGTCGGGCAAGCATTCAAACGAAAATTTAATAAAGTTGAATGTGTCGATGTTATAAAGATAAATTATTAAAATTTATATTTTTTATATATTGATCATGCCGAAAGCAACATTCAGCAAATTTTATCAGGTGTCTCAGGAATTATGATAATAGCTGTAATTAATAAACTATACTTTTCACTCTATGTGTGATATTTTCATCACTTATTATTTTGGCATATTCGTAATCTTTATTTTTCTTACATTAATTCTACCCTATCCCTTGTCGTTTTGTGTCCCAACATACAATTTTTGTGAATAATACATAAATTTTTACACTACATTACACATTTATTCATGTTATATTGCTATTTAAAAATGGTAAATTGTAGTTAATGAAACATAAATGACAGAAATCAATTTTAAGATCCCAAAATTTAGAATATAATTTATACTTGAGGATCGAAATAAATGTATTCCGAAAAATCCAAAGATCTTTCCCGTTCAGATTGAGAATTATTTGTTGTAAAATCGGAATATTCGGTATTGGGTTTGCAAATTCCTTGAGCGTTAAAACTTAACGATTCTGAAAAATTATGATCTGCCTTATTAATACTTTTAATTAAAAAAGCTTCCGATGTTACTTCATTATTTTTTCGACATGTATTGTTTTTCGATTTTGATTTTCTTTTTGGTGAATATGAATAATCCGGATATATCTTTTTATGCCTATCTTTCGCTAAATTCTCGAGAAATTCAAAGAAACGAAGAACTTCTTTCGGCTGCTTACTCCATTCTTCGGATGCTAAACGAGAGACATCCCCATTGCTCGTTTTCATTTCTTTTAATTTTAGCTTTGCAGAAAAATCACGACGAAATAGAACAAAAGCATTTTGAGGTCTTGGAGGTGACGAAGAATAAGGATTTTTTCGAAAATTTGTCGCTTTTCGAGAATTTTTTGGCGGCGAAATTAGTTCATCGATCCCTATTGTTAATTGGTATGGTGGGGAATCATTTAAAAATTCATTATTAAACGAATTTTCATAAAAAGATTTATAGATTCTCATCTCGGGTAAAATATTCATGAAATGAATTTCTCCCTTCGTCATTATTATGAGGATTCAAAGATCAGGGAGGCGTTGCTATTAAATCAAAAAAAATATTCCATTCGTATACTAATTTGTCTTACCTAAAACACTATTTTCAGTTTATCCGGCTGCTTACTTAAAAAACTATTATCAGTTTATCCGGCTGCGGCAACTTTGTGCAACAGGGATTGAACATAATGGTTAATTATTGGTATTCTTTGGCTGAAACAGTCACACAAGATCCGGCTGCTTACTTAAAAAACTATTATCAGTTTATCCGGCTGCGGCAACTTTTCTAATAATTTGTGCAACAGGGATTGAACATAATGGTTAATTATTGGTATTCTTTGGCTGAAATAGTCACAGCAAGATCGCGCCATTCGACTTTATTTAGTATAATCTTTCTGGATAAACCTAAAATTTTGAATCAACCACCTTACGTGAAACTTGGTTTTATAAAAGATAAATAATTACTACCGTATCAGGATTCTTCCAAAATAAGTATCTCGTAAATAAACACCCCTTCCTAACAAATATGCAAATTTCGGCCCGCTTTATAACAACTTTGATCAGCAAAAATGAAGTGCTTATTTGGAAACAATGACAACCACTAAATTTGTGCACATCGATACGTATAACTGTATCTATTTTTATACTGTGTTTATAACCAATCATCTTTTTTCACTTTATTCACGAGGTTATTCTTACAGACCTATATGAAAATCATATCAACTGATGAAATATCCCTGTTACGTGCTGAACAAAGTATTTATTAAATATATTGTCTTTTGCAGAGTAAAAAAAGTATTTTATTTTGTTTGGGCTTTTTATTAGTAATAAGATTTATCAATTTTATTTAAAGTGAATGATTTTATTATAGCAGTTTATTAGTGCTAGGATATTATAGCCAATTAAAATTTAATATTAGCGTTAAATTTCAGTGATTTTAATAAAATTTGTAAATTCCAAAAAAAAAGCTTATAACAAGCTCGATTCACTTAGGGACAAAATCTCAGATATAAATATATACACATAACCAATCGTAATGGCTAAATTTTTCAGGTGGGGGAAATTTTCGATTGAAACAAAAATTTAAAACTGAATTTTCAATCATAATCAAAGGTTTTAGAAATCTATTGAATAGTTTCCAAATGAGGACACAATAAAATTTTTAATAACATTGAAAAATTCTTTATATACCCTGAAATTACATATATTTTCTTTATTCACTCTTTTTTTTTTTAACATATTCATAATCTTTTTACGTCGACGTTGCTATATTTCTTGTTTATTTATTTTTTTTTTAATGCATAATAATATCCCTTTGTGCATAAAGTCATAAATATATTTCTAAACCATGCTATATATATCTACTACGTTACGTATATTTGTTATATAAAAACTTATAAAAAAAAAAAAAAAAATAGTAAATTATAGTTGATGTTCGAACATATGCCAATAAGCATAAAATAAGCGTAAAAATAAGTTGCCAATCTTTTTTTAAAAAAAACGGAAATTCAACGGTTATAAAAGCTTATAAAAAAGAATAATAATCGTAGATGTTCGAATATACATAATAAGATGCCAATTTTTTTTTTAAAAAAAAAAAAAAAATACGAAAACTCGACGCTATGTAAGGAAATCGGGATCTATTATGTAATCGGAGAAATTAACGTAATCTTGATCAGATGTCTGATCAGGAGTTTGTTGAAAAAACGAATTATTTAACATTTCAAGATCATTAAAATGATCATTAAAATTTGGCGTATAAAAATAGAAATCATTATAAATATGGAAATCGTTATTATATGGGAAATTAAAATCGATATTTTCGGAAGCTTCTAGAGTGTTAAAATATTCTGAAAAATTATCAGCGCAATTTATCGACGTTTCTTCTGGTTTCGTCACTTCATTGTGACTTTGAGAAATTTGGAATTGAATAATATCACATTTATTATGATGTATTTTTTTCGATTTCGGCTTTTCTTTTTTTTTAGGCCGAAATTGATAACCAGGATAAGCCTCCTTATGTTTTTCCTTCGCAAAGGTTTCAAGAATTTCAAAAAATTGACGAACTTTTCCAGGTTGATTACGCCATTCTTCGGCGGCTAAACGGGAAATTTCACTGTTTGTAATTTTCGTTCCTTTTGATTTTTTGTGTAATTCAGTAAAATTTCTACGAAATAGAACCCAAGAGTTCTGGGGTCTTGGTGGTGGCGTTGAATACGGTTTTTTCCTGTTTTTGGTTGCTTTTCGTGAATTTTTGGGTGGCAAAATTAATTCTTCAATTTTCATTGCTAACGGGTAAGGAGGGTTCCTAAACAATTCATTGTCTAAAGAATTTTCGTAAACATTCATGAACTGAACTTCTGACTTCATCATCAAGGAAAAAGTCATATTGTTTAGGACGAGGGTTCAAAGATCAAGGAAGTACTGTCTTTTATAGAAAAAAGTTCCATTCATAATGATATACAAGATTAAATGATTTGTTTTTTTCAAAAAAAGACGTTTATCCGGTCTGCGGAAACATTGTACAACCATGAATAATAGGTAAAATCTTTGGCGAAACGGAATTATCTTTTGGCGACACGGAAAACAAACTGAACAATTGATGCAGCAAAATGCATCATTCGGTTTTATTCTGTTACCTTTCCGGAAAAACCCAAAACTTCGAACTAACTGCTACTCGATTCTATAAGAGCATACGGGATTATCAATCATTACTTTATTTGGTATTTCGGAAATATTCACTCCCGGCCAACGCTATATAAATTTTGGCCTGCATTAAACGCAAAAGGGAACTGCTAATTTATCTAGACAATGACAAATCCAAATTTGTATATCAAGGTGACGTACGTACATAAAGAAATATCTAGTCAACTAAAACAAAATAAATTAGTACTATCTTTCATATTACTGTTAAATCTAAAATTAATATCAATATGCATGATGACAGGCTTGATATCAGTTTTGAAAAGTTATCGGATTTAAAACTAAATTTTGCTTAATTTATAAGTTGTCATAGTAAAAAGCTAATTACCAATTAAATCATAAAAATCATTAAACAATTAAATCATTAAACAATTAAATTAATGTATTATTTATATTTAAAAAAAAAGTAAAAGCATTGTTTTTGAGCGTAGGAAAATCATCGAAACCGCATAATCTGGACACTCTAGCCCGTATAATATTACAAAGTTATATTGTCATCATATGTCCCAAATTTGAAAAAGAAAAGGAAAATCTTTTACCAATCATATATATTTATTGTGTTGATTAATGCCATTTTTGCAATGACGAAATGGCTTTGATGATGGTTTCGTCTGGAAAAACTTACGCGATCGACAAATTGAGATTTTCCAGAAGCCTGCGGATTTTATTACGTATGTGTCATACATGTAACGCATACTTGAATTTCTTTTATGTTTACGAAAACTACTAAGTTTTTCCACATTAAAATAAAATAAAATTTTAAACACTGACAATAAAACTATTGAAACTACTAGTCATTGAAGATTATTATTATAATTATTTATACTGTTTAAAATATCTTTATTATTTTCATAATTTATCCTTTTACCAAATATGCCGATAATTCCATAGTACGTATCAAAAACGCATCATCCTATTATATTACCAGTTATAGAGCATTTGTCTGATTGATTGATGCAAAATGACTTCTTGGATAGATTATTTATATGCATTACGTTTCAATAATAAAAAAAAATCAATATTTTCTATACATAATATTTTCAGCTTTCTTTGCCTAGAAGATAAATGCTTCACTTATTTGTGCAATGATTTATGCTAGAGTATCTAAGTCCAAAATTTATAAAGAGCAATTTCACATGGTAATTATAAGTAATTGCATATGTGGGTAATTATAATTATTTGCATATGTGGGTAATTATAATTAATTGCATATGTGGGTAATTATTTTTGAACCCGGAACAATTTTGTATTTATGACATAATAACACTTTGGTTTGAATTCAAAAATAATCACCCATATTGAATCTTACTTTTATTCTGTAATTTAAATTTTTTTTTTATAGTTTTATTAAAATATTTTTTACGTATACAGTATATTATATAAATTGTGACGATTTTAATTTTGTTAAATTTGATAATTTGACTAATCATGAAGTATTGCCAGTTATTCAATTTCATGTAATTAACCAATTATAAGAAAGTTGTTCTATATAGAATACCACGAATTGAGTGATTTATATGTTAAGGTGATACAAATCTTAAATAAATTCTCTATTAAATAAAGAAAAAATCATAAATTATATCTTAGATAATAAATTGCATGTTATAATAAACCTTAAAATTAGGAATTTTCTATAAGCCTTATATATATTAAGCATATTAAGGGTTTTATTAAATTGTTTTACAGTAATAACTAATAAATTAAATTAGAGTAGAATATACACTTGAACTGAATTTTTTTCAAACTTTTGAAACACTCGATTTTGATAACTACATTACGCTATCGTAAGTATGAGGTTTTTAATTAAGTAAATTTGTTTAAACGGAGCTTTCGTTCTATTATTTTGTTACAAAAAATTGCAGCAACTAATTATTACATTCTATTCTTCCTTCAACCACAGCCTTCTTCACAAATAACAGTTTCTCGGATATTTGAGTCTTCGTGTTTTTACTATGACTTAGCAGACAGCTCCATGTGCTATAACTAAAGATTCAATGCTTTGACGTTTGTGGAGATTGAATTTCTTAATCACGGGGTTATGGCGCAGTTTTATCTTATTTTGGAAATTTTATTTTCTACTCGAGACATCTTATTTACCCTCTACTCGTGACAGAAATGATACTAACCAATAAGATTTTTCGGCAGTTTATTATTCAGTAATATATACCTTTATTTACTACGTTCATTGGCATAAATGTTATATTCTTGAGCATCATTAGTTTTGCTTGCAATTGTAATAAAATAATTAAAATAATTTATAAAGTCTTTAAAAAAAATATGGTTAAAAATAACGTAAACATGAAAATCATAAATAATGGTTAAATGATAGTTAACTTTGAGGGTAAATCTCGTTTAAGATTTTCTTAATTAGGTAGAAAAAATAATTCAAAAAATAATTCATACTTTATCAAATTCTTCCAAATGATGTCACAATAAATTTTAAATTTTGGTTCACGTGATTAAGACCGAATTGTATGAATAATAAATAATATGCCAATGAAATTAATAACAAATATGCACCAACCACAATAATAGTAGCAACAATGATAATATAAGCAACCAATTAAAAAATGATATAGGCCGGCATAAATAGCAATAGCAACAGTAGTGATGATTTTAAAAAAGTATACAATATTTATTTTAATAAATTTGATATAGTTTAGTAAATACAGTAGTAGAAAGATAACTAATAAAATTGTCCAATAAAAAAATTGTTATATAATAAAAATTGTTCAATAAAAAAAAAAAAGTTATATAATAAAATTGTCCAATAAAAATGTTATATAATAAAATTGTCCAATAAAAAAAATGTTATAAAAAAGTTATATAATAAAATTGTCCAATAAAAAATGTTATATAATAAAATTGTCCAATAAAAAAAATGTTATATAATAAATTTAAAGATTGTTAATGATATAAAAGAGCCGTTAGCGGTAACATACTAGTACTATTGAAAATCCTTTAAAACACCGAAATCATATCTATACATTTTTTTTTTTTTATGACATAATCTTATTTCTCTTATATTGACCTTAGAATATTCTTATTTGTTTGTCGTATCATAATATATTTTGCATAATGCACATCTTATGTTATAATATATATGTTCTTATGTCATAATATATATTTTCTTATGTCATAATATATATATTTTCTTATGTCATAATATATATTTTCATACCGTATTGCATATCTTATTAAATATAATCGTCGCATAAAAGTTCATAAAAACCATAAATAGTAGCAGTAAATGAGAAAACATAAATTATTGGAACCAATCTTAAGCTCTTTGATACAATCATACAGATAAATTGAGAGCATAAAAATAAGTTGCCGATGTTTTAAAGGAAAAAATCTTGAAAGTTGGCATTAAAATTGCGGATAGGAATCATTCCCTTCATTGAGGATTGCTGGATTAATGATTTCATTAAAGATTTTATCAAAACTTTCTTGATCATTAATCTGATCGTTTTCAAATCCATATTCGGTAGTCTCAAATTCTGGATATTCATATTCGGTTGTCTCGGGTTCGGAAAATTCAGTATATAATAATGGTTCTGAATATTCAGTATATAATAATGGTTCTGAATATTCAGTATATAACAATGGTTCGGAAGATTCAGTATATAACAATGGTTCTGAATTTTCAGTAAATAATGGTTCGGGATATAGTAGAAAATCGGGTAAAATTCCTTCAAAATTTGTTGATTCCCCATAATTAAGATCGATGACATTAGTATTTTCGTTTAAAGGAATTTCCAAAGTTGATTTTGGTTCTTCTAATGTCACTTCACTCATTTCGTTTTGAATCACTGGGAATCGTTCAATATTGGTATTCACTTGACGAGTATTTTTTGATTTTGGTTTTTTTACATTGCTTTTTTTCGGGGAATATTTATAATCCGGATACGTTGCATTATGTTTTTCTATCGCCAACTCTTCGAGGATTTTAAAGTATCGTCGAACTTCATTCGGTTGTTGGTTCCACACTTCGGATGCTAAACGAGAGATATCTCCATTATTCATTTTTATTCCTTCTACTCTCAATTTTGCGTAAAAATCGCGACGAAATAAAATGAAGTCATTCTGGGGCCTTGGAGGTGATGTAGAGTGTGGATTTTTTTGAAATTTTTTTGCTTTACGAGAATTTTTTGGTGGAGAAACAAGTTCATCGATTTCTATTGTTAATTGGTAAGGCGGCAGTGGACTACTGATCAATTCATTGTCAAATGAATTTTCATAACAAGATTTAGAGATTCCCATCTTTTCGGAAGTATTTATTTTTAATTGAGTTTATTGTTTCTTCCGTTTAAATTTTGTACTTGTTGATAGTGATAATTCCAGGATCGATGAGGCATGGTCTTTAAATAAATTTTTTTCATTGTATATTAATTGTTTTAATTTAGAAAAAAAATACATTCAAAAACTGCGTAACAGAACAAATAATGGTTTAATTTTAATGGTTTGTTTTTGGCAATAACGGAGACAAACTATTGCAGCAAGATCTCGTCATTGACTTTATTTAGTATCGCTTTTTTTTTCCGGAATTACTTGTTAATTTTTAAATCAACCATTTGACATTCCAATAGAAGCGTATGAGAATCATTACTGCATCTGTATTTCTTTGGCCAACACCATGCAAATTTATATAAATTTTGGCCAACATTATATATGAAAATACTTCTTTTTGGAGACAATGACATGTACTAAATTTGTACACATCATGCATGCATGTATGTAAATATGTACATACAGTAGTTGATAGGTCCGTACGTTTATGGTTACACTATATTCACTTCACAAAGAAATATGGTTATGGCCTGTTATTGTTCTCTGGAATATTAGAACATGCATCGAAGCTCATAGATCCCTGTCAATGTTTCTATTAAAGTTTAAAGACGCCACAAGATGTATGGCGCCATGCCACAGTCTAGTTAGCCTGTTCGACCAATTAAACAAATTTCAAACTAGAAATGTTGAAAGCACATTCGAACATAACTTAATTGAATTCATTATGTTCTATTGTTCAGTCCTTAATAAATGTGATCACGTTTAGACCATAATTACATATCACATTTATTTTGATAAAAGTATTTCAAATATTAGTCAATATATGACTCAAAAATGCGAATTTACTGTAAATTCAACACCTATAAAATTTTTAACGGGAATCTGTTATGTTTTGCTGCATAGAGAATACATAGAATTTTCTAGACTTAAATCGCTATCTTCTTTTATTGTTCTACAATAAGTATAATTGTTGTAAATAAGATTTGGCGTCACATATGCATGTGAATGCATAGAAAAATCTGTCGTTTTGGCAATTACTATATGTAGCAGAGATCTGTACACTAACCTGGCAGAAATCTGTGGAGAGTGGTTTCCGCATATCTTTTGTGGCTAGTGTACACAAATTAGAAATAATATTTCCAAATATGCATTTTTTTTAAATGTCATTGTTAACGTTTAAGGTTTGTACAGCGCATCACGAAATTCATCCAACAACTATATATACAGCTACAACTCGCTAAATGTGCACTCTCCAAGTGCAGCAAACTTGGGGTGTTGACTGTCGAAATCTTAAAACCAAAAATGTATACTGGTGTTGCTATTAGGTATAAAGACGTTACAGTGATAAAATAAACTTTATTTTTTCCGGGTTTATCTAGTATCAGTGCTTAATCTTTAAAAAGCATAAAATATTGAATTTGCGTATGTACTGTAATAAATCTAGATTTAATTTTACAGCAGAACATGCGTCTATAAAAAAATTGGGTTTTTATGTAATGTAACAAGGAAAAATAATAAATAATGAAAATTTTTACTATGCGAGTTAAATCTTGATATTTAAGTAAAAACTTGCGTATCTCGCATTGCTTACGCAATGAGATTGAATAAAGTAATTTGAAATTGTGAATCCTTAAATAAAATTTAGATAATATGCATATTTATCATAATAAATTATGACTTTATTATATGCGTTCATTCAATGTAATAGGTTTGCCGTGATGTTATATATAATTCAAAACATATGGTGTGTTTTCAATAGAAACAGCCCATTTTTACATAAACCAAATTTTGTGCAAAATTTTCAACTTAAAGTTCATTTTGTAAACCTTTTTATTATATAATTGGCTTTTGTGAATATAGCAAACTTTTTGTTGAATATATATCTATTGAAAAATCAAATAAAAAATTTTTCAAAAAAATGTAAAAATGGACTGTTTCTATTGAAAACATCCTATATAATCAAATCTTTTTTTTTTTTTTTAAATTCTTAGTCTATAGAATAAATTATTCAATCATACTGAACGGTCCTAAGTTGAGACTATTTTTATGAAACTATCAATATTATTATTTTTATGTCAGAAGCACATACTTAATATGATCATATCTGGGTTATCTCTAGGAATGAGAACGCTACGCAGATGTAATATTTGGAGCTTCGAAATATTCTAAAATTAAACAATTCTGGCTTGCATTAACAGAAAATTACCATAATGCGGGCCTGCGCAGTAGATTCAAAAATCTTCGATTTTTTTATCTCTAGTTATATTCTTTCTTTTTTCCAAATCATTTTAGGAGATATAACTAAGATAAGAATATAGCTCAATATGTAAAATATATAACAACATATAAAATATTTATTTTGCTTAAATATAAGATATAACTCAGGATGGAATATACCCAATAGAGATATAACTAAGTTATAATTATATTATGCATTACTGAGGCATTCAATATATTATGTAAATTAAAATTAATTTAAAAAAAACAAAACACATTTTTATACTTGAAGTAACAACAAAGTGATGATATTATTACAAGATCAAATTACTTTATAGTATTATATATTTAATTTGTTGTTTGTTTTTATAAGTTGCTTTTAATATTTATTATATTATTTTATTAAATGCAGAATAAATTATATTTATATATAATTTAAAATATTCAAATTGTTATAGTGCGTTATATAGTACTACATAAAGTATACTCTAAAAAGGTATCTCTTTTAAATAGTATCGGAGTTTAAGTTTAGAATTAAATTAAATTTTTGAATTTTAATTACTCTATAAAAAAATATAAAATAATATATTTTAAAAATATTTATTATTTGTTATTTCTAAAAGCTTTAGATAATGATCTAATTATTTTAAGTTTATATTAAAAATTTTAGTTTTTTAAAAACTACAATATTAGTTATATAATTTGTTATACAGATAATTTATGTGAATTTTTTAATATGGGGCCAAATGATTAATACATCTAAATTTTATATAAATTTAGACAAATTTTGCTTTTAAGTTTTATTAATAATAAAGAAATTATTAGTTTAATTTTTTGATAACATTTTATAAATTTTTTTATATTTGAGGATTCTTTTTATAAAATTTGAATATTGTTAAAATAAAATAAAAAAACATTATTATCATAAAGTTGGTTAATTTTTTATGATTTTTACTATTTGTTTATATAGATAATAAGTAATTATATTATTTATCTAAAATAGATAATAAAAATATTAATTAAATATTTATTATATATTTTTTATGATTTATTTTAAATAAATAATATATATCACTTATTATTATATATAAGCAAACAATAAAAATTATAACAATAAGCAAACTTTATAACAATATTATTTATTAATTTTATTTTTAAACACACTTCAAATTTTATAAAAAAATTTTTTGAATATAAAAGAATTTGCAAAATACTATCCAAAATTAAACTAATAATATTTTTATTATTAAATATTACAAATTAAAATAAAATTGGATTAAAATAAAATTGGAGACCTTTCTTGCTCATTCTTAAAGCTTATAAAACCTACATATACTCTTTTATTAATAACCTTTAAATCTGACCTCTAATGCTAAAAAACTCTAAAAAAATATCTTCTAAAAAATTTTAAATTTTTTTAAAAATTAAAAAAAATTTATTTTAATCTAATCTGATTTTATTTTAATCTGTTATATTAAATAAGCTAAAAATAATATTGTTTAAATTATATATATAAATCTAAATATATTAATTATTTGATTTTATATTAAAAATAAGATTAATATATTTGTAGTCAATAGGATACTTTAGCTATAACTATTAGTTTTGCATACTAATTTGAAATATCTGAGTAATTAAATTTGGATATCT